TCAATCATCTTGGATTGGAATTGTTCACTCTTTCTGAGATGTTTTAGCAAAATGCTGCCTCATACATTGATTTGTTAGTTGAATTTTCTTTTGGGTGTTGGTAACTCAAAAACCACAATGGAACCTATCAATAGTGAAGAGAGCTGTATTATCCCCAAAGAGTAGTCATGTACTGAAAAGTTGCGAGGATGAACTACAACGATCCTTGTCTTTTTCACATTTGATCAGGCTTTCTTCAATTTAAATCTTATAGAGCTAGATTTTATAATTTGCTAAAAATGAATTATGTAAAAACTTCAGTTGGAACAGCCTCGTTTATAATGATTTATGTGAACACTTTCAGCGGGAACTGCCTCATTTCTCTATTTCACTATTTTGCATAATATCAGCTTGGTAATTTAGATTGGTAAGTATGGAAAGGGAACCTCGAGTATTATGTGTTCTTGTAAAAATCCGACGACACATTCCTAATTATTCTCCATAAAGGAGAATCAATTAAATGTCAAATACATTTAGCCTTTTACTCCGTACTCGAAATGGCTTGTCATAATTATCTTTTGGGTAAATCCATTCTACCAGTTGATATAGTCTACAACATTCAGATGAATGTGCACGTGTTTTCTGGTGAACCAAAACTTCAAATAGTTAGCAAATCACCCTTCCCAAGACTTATGAATGTGCACGATAATCTTAGGATATACATGATTTTGTTTTCTTGCTTACAAAAATAGTCAGGATTATTAAATCGCTTACCACAATAGATATTGTTTTCTATGAATGCAGACCGTGGACTCCAAATCAGAATTCATCGTGGGGTACTGCCACAGTTTATGAGAAAATGGTTGCCAACACTGGATCAGTTGGTAGCTGGGGAACAAGTAGAAATGATACGAGTGGAAGCAAGGAAGCTTGGAACAAAATTGGAGTTTCATCAGAGAATGAGACCCGTGGTTTATTGGTCTTCATGGAGTGCCAGAGAAGCAGCCATAGAATAAGATAATTTAAAACATTTTATTTCATTTTGAAACTTCTTTTTATTTAGGTGGTGTTGTGTCACATTGTAACGTTGAAGTGTATGAATTCAAAAATTTATAATGAAATTATCAATTTTTATGCAATTTCAAAATTTGTTCACAAAGTGTCATTTTCAATTTTGACGGTCAATTCTCATATATAACTAAAAAAAGGTCTACCACAACGCTGAAAAAACACTGCAAAAGGGTCNATCAATTGATGTATTACCGTTTTAAAACTCATTTTTATTTAAGTGTTTTTGTATCACATTCTAATATTCAAGTGTATGGATTCAAAAATTTGTAATAAAATTATCAATTTTTATGCAATTCCAAAATGTGTTCACAAAATGTTATTTTTAATTTTGTGGGTCAATTACCATATATCTAAAAAAAAACGTCTACCGCAACGTTTAAAAACCGCTGCAAAAGGGGTCTACTATAACGTTTAAAAAATGCTGCAAAAGGGTACCATATATCTATAAAAAAAAAAGTCTACCGCAACGTTTAAAAAATGCTGCAAAAGGGGTTTACCGCAATGTTTAAAAAACGCTGCAAAAACCTTTTAGGCAACGTTTTTTAAACGTTGCCGTATCCTGTCACTCTACAGCAACACTGAGATTTACAGCATTTGCCCAAACGTTGCAAAAGGTTTTTGGCAACGTTTTTTGAACATTGTCGTAT